AATGATTTAAGAGTACTTTTGTCAATTTTGTCATGAAGAGATCATGGGAGTGTAACTTTCCGAGAACTAGTGAGTGACTGATAAGATCATGAACATTCACCAAAAATACAATGTAAATTCGGCAAATGTCATGTTCTATATGGCTAGCAGATGAAAAATATTGTTTCATTTTGTTTCAGGGACAGCATCAACCATGATTATGTTTGAATCACATGGACATACCAGCAAAGTGAACAAATTGGAGAGCAAATGAAATCACTGTGGCAATATTACAAACTCTTGTTGGGCTAATAGTAAAACTAAGGTAAGGTGCACAAAAGTTGACCTGATGGTTTTTCAACTAACACCTTTTTTTACGTTCCGATAGACACAACTGGGGCCAAAACTAGGATGTCTTGCAAGAATATTATTACAATCCACCATTAACAACATATTGACATCTTGGAAAATATCAAAATAAGCTCCGTCACCTAGGATTGAAATATGACATTAGTATTACCAACTTGAAATCCATAATCACTTATCACAGTAGCAAATTTAAGTTTGAAGGATAATTGGAATGCCTTAGCTCCTCCTACTGTTTGATTCCAGATCGAAAGCAATGGCAATAAGTTTGACGATTTTATTTAGATTCAGTAGTAATATTAGTGGTTGTATTCGCTGAATGACATTCAACGATTATTTACCGATTATCCAGTTAATCGGCCATGGAAAATTTTCAATGATTAATTAATTGGTGTTGAAAATTTTCACCAGAAGTAATATTAATATGACTTTTGATTATACACTTCTCAAGAACAACCATTGGACATGGCTATTTAATTAATCCAAGAAAGAAAGAAAACGTTTGCTATGTCATGATTCCAATTCTGTTCATTCAAAATATGTCAATGAAAGCGTTTCAAAGTCCGTAAAAGATGAAGAAATGTGGATTTTAAAATCTAAAAACATTTGTTTGCTAAAGAACTTTACAAACACCCAATTTAAAGTAAATGCCCGATCACATTCATCAATTCTGCTGGTATGGAAGTTAATTCTAATACAAAAGGACATGCTTGTAGAGATGAGGAAGTAGCATAGAAGATATTGTAGCCACACTTGAATGAAATACATACATGATGGGTTGATACACTCAACTGCACCATGTACTTTGACACTAATCAACATGCCATTGAGATTGTCCAAACCTAGTCAGTTAGAAACATCATACACAAATTTGTGAGGATTCATTAGTCATTCAACTGTGTACTATAAAACCTCGGGATCCTCATTCAACAATTGCTATTATTACTGCTGTACATCCAGACTGCTCTCAACTTTTCGTTCCACTTTACCTTCTCAAGAATCTATACACCTACACAACCAACACAGTCAATATATATTGGACAACACTCTCTCATTATCAAAAAGATCCAATGGAAGTCTCTTGTCAGGGTGATTTATATGTGTTTTTCCATTTGTTAAACAAGCTCTTATTCATAATGTAATAATAATATTTTGATTTATTAACATGAATGTCTAGAAATATTTTCCTCGCTACATAATATAAAATTTACCCTATTATACATCTATTACAAAGAAAATTTTGTAACTTTTTTTTAAAAAATTCTGTGAAATGAATAAAACCATTTTCAAAATAAATAACATTTAATGGAATAATAACTATTTTTTTAAACTTTTAATCTCATTCAATAAAGTTTGCATTTGAATCAACATCTGTTCATTATTGTGATTTAATTTGTTTTCAAGATTTTTTTCAATTTCTTTGATATCAGCTTTACTTTGTTCAAGTTTGTTTTCAAGATTTTTTTCAATTCCTTTAAGATCAATTTTGTTTTTATCTTCTTTGTGTGCATTTGCCATTTTTCTAAGTTCCTTAGAGATAAATGGAGGAAATTTTGAGTCACTACTATCAATTTCTCTGATTTTCTTTTGAATGTCTTCAACTGGTGCCCAATAATATCTATATCAATTATCAAAAAAAATTAATCAAAGAAATAAAGATAAAGAAATAAAAATAAATAAAATTTGTATATTTACATAATATCAGGAAACCATTCTCTCCAACGACGTTGATTAGGAAGTAAATAAAATAATTCAATATCTGATATAATTTTTGCCTTTTGTGCCAAAAATGCTTCATTTATATTATAATTTTCAATTTGATTGCTAAGAAGACCAATGAATAAATTCATTAAATATACTACAACAATAAATGAAAATAAAACAAATAATATTGCAAGGTATGGATCATCTTGTAATTGCCAGGATCCAAATGCCCCACTATCACCTATTAAAAAAAAAATCAATTATATTAAATATTTAGCAAACATATTGAAAATATTATTTTAAATATCATTAATATAAAATTTTACCTGTGAGAAAATTATACATTGCCAGCATTGAGGAGTGAAAATCTGTAAATGTGTTTGTGTTTCTATCAGGTTGTTGGACCATAAATGAATTTTGGTCATATGAATTGTTATTTTCAAAATATGTAAAATATTTAGAAGCAAGATTCCAAGGATTATTGGGATCATTCTCTTTGAAATCAGGGCTGTCTAGTGTATAATCCACCTGAATTGGTTTCAATAAGATGTAAAACACATGTGAAAAACTTAAAATAATATTATTAAAAATGAGAAAACTTTTTTAGCAACTCCTATAATGATTCCAAAATATTTTCCAAAGTATGTAAATGTTCTTAAAAACAACATAAATTTCAGATCTAATAACAAATTGGATAATGAAACCAACTCATTAGCTGGTGAACCATCATAATATAGCCATAGAATTGAAGTAACAACTGGTAAGTAATATGCCCCAAGGTCTATTAAATAAATAATAATCATTATTAAATTATCAACTAATAATAATAATAATTAATAATAATAATATCATACCAAAATAATTACAGAAGTTAGTGGCATACTTCATTGGGTTCCAAATAAATTGTCTCATTTCAAAATTAAGATGAAACAACCCAAGGATGATTGTAGTAATTAATAATGAACTTCTATTTTTATCAGATAATTGATCTGTTGAAGCAGAGGTTGCAATTGCAAAGCATAATAAAAATGCTATATAAAAGACCCAAATCCACATGTAATATTTGAATCCAAAATTATTCCACTTGGAATTCAAGATTACTTCTCCATTCCAATGTTTATATAGTTCTAAAGTATCTAATTCAATAAATATACTATTTGATGGCTTATGCAATAATTCTTTCCAAAATGAATAAAACGAGTAGTTCGAATAAAGCGAGCAATTCAAATAAAACAAATATATAAAACAGCGAATAATTCGAATAATTCGAACAACAATTTGTACTACGAATAATAACTTAATTAAACAGTTGATTGATTGTTCTTTCACTTGGTCAAAAGGCGACATTAATCTTTTCTTCTAAAATCAATTCACATGAAAAAAACAATATAAATAAAAATTCGAATATAAAATACTAATATTAATATTAATATTAATAAAAACCGAAAGAGAATAGGTCACATGTCCGAAACGGCCATAATAATAATTTTAACCTTCCTAATTTGGTATGTGATGCCGAGTATTCGATCGGCGTACACCCAAATGAATAATATTCATTGAATAATAAGTATTTGGATGTTTGATTTTTCATTGATTGATTGACTAAATATAATCAATTTAAAGCTGGATTGAAATGAAATTTCATGTCCGAATAAATTCTCTGTTCATTTTTAATTGATTATTTATTTCAGTTCCGTTCATCTAAAAATGGAAGAGCAGCTATCAGTCACTATAATGGAAGAAAGCAATAATACAATAATGAGATGGATGAGTTTTCTGTTGCTCGTATTTTGAATAAAAGCAAAGTAAAGGGTGGTTCTAAAAAGTCAAGTTGGATATGGGAAAATGATCCATTTGTGCGGAAACATAATAAAAATAGATTTTCTGTTTTTTCAAAGTTTGCTATTAAATACTTGTGTTCACCTACAACTTCCATTCCGAGCGAGAAATTATTTAATCAAGCTGGAAATACAATAAACTCAAAAAGAACAACCTAATTTGATAATTTGATAGAATATAATAATGAATTTATTGTTCACCAAATTATCGAATTGATTGAATTAATATAAAAGGAATGAACATGCAGTTTGTACAACACCTATCCTATTGATCTGCGTAACATGTTCTGTTATAATTTTACCTGATCAATAGACAATCCATATAAAGAAGGCTATCTATGCCTGTACGAAAGTTTATCATCAAGTTTATAAAGAAGGATTAGAAAAACTATGATAGCACAGAAAACAATGAAATATTACAATTGGTTGATTTCAAGGCTAATCTTGCGCCTGGTGGTTTGAATTATCCAAATCTAGAAAAAACAATCTGAAATTTTTTCCTTGCAAAAAGTTTTTTTTAAATAAATAGCGAATGTTTCAGACTTAATCCAATAATTATAATAATAATTTATTATTATTTTACAAAATAATCGTAACAACAACAACAAAAACGATAATAATAAATGGCTATAATTGAAAGCACCATTGTGTGTTTAGTTGTCGCGGTATCCCTCGTCGGCTATTATATTTATAAATGGATAGTTTATCCATTATATTTATCTCCTTTATCTAAAATTCCTGGTCCTCGTCCTGACCATTTTCTGTTGGGAAATTTGTTGAAAATTATTAAACCAGAGGTGAGAGCATGATTTATGCATATAACTATGTTTATAAAAAATTTGACTTCCGTATTATTTATATTTAATTTAATAAGAGTGGAGTAAAATGGGCAGAAAAATATGGCACCGTATACAGGTGTTATGGATTATTAAATGTACCAAAAGTTTTTATTCTCGACGAAAAAAATATTCAAAAAGTACTTGTTAGTGATGCGTATGCCAAATTTGGTAAAAGGAAAGGATTTCTGGGATTTTTAAACAGGATTCTTGGAGAAGGCATTTTGGCGGTAGATGGTGACGTACACAAGAGACAACGTAAACTGATGAATCCGTCATTCAGTCATAATAGTATTAGGGTAAATTTCTGGGTGTAACATTATTATCCAATCAAATTTCTAAATTTGTACTAGTTACACTAATATTAATATTATTTAGGATATGATACCAGCATTTACAAGGGTTTCTAATGCATTGAAAGATATATGGAAATATGAAATAAAGAACAGTCAAAATTTTAATAATGATATTAATAAAAAAAGTGCAATAATTGATGTTGGTCATTATATGGGAAGAGTATCTTTGGATGTTATTGGCATAGTTGGTAAGTGGTTCTATAATAGGATTGAACAGAAAATAAAAGAATGTAATTAAAATCAATTATCAGTGTGTTTAATCAAATTAATCTTTATAACAATTAATTATTTTTTATTTAGGGTTTGATTCTGAAATAAATTCTTTGACAAGAACATCAAGACTTGCAGACACAGTAAACACTCTTTTGGATAACAAATATGGGTTAGTGTATATTTTATTATCATTTGTTTTACCCATATTGAGATTGCTGCCATTAAAAATAAATCAAGATATCGAAAATGCTTCAACTGAAATTGAAAAAATTACAAGGAAATTGGTTCAAGATAAATTTGATGAATTGAAAAAAGGTAAATTGGATAGCAATGACTTGGTAAGTATTTTGGTGAAGGCTAGTTATGGACAGGAAATAGATAAAAATGAACAAATGAGTTTTGAAGAAATAAGAAATCAGGTAATTGTTATTACAAAGGAAATGAAGGAAATGATTTTTAATTATCATTATTATTTTTTGACTAAAAAAAATATTTCAAGATTATGACATTTTT